TGGAGAGTGCAATGGTTTCATCTTGAAACTTATGTCATTACGATATTTTAATTTTGTGCTCCCCCAATGCCAAATTTCTATAAGACATGTGAAGAATTAGTAAAGGCATATGACACCGAGTTAATCCTTCAAGTATCAATCACAAGAGATTATAATTAATCGTAACTTATGATTACCCTTTTTTTGAGCCAGGTCCTTAAAGCCATCATACCTTCTCCGTCTGGGATGGCTAATAGTCCCAGTTTACATCTTGGACTCTCAAACTATGTTCAACTTCACTCTAAACCCTTGAGCTCTTGCTTTCTAAATTGGGCTAGCGCTTATGTCTTAGGGTGAAAACTTTTCATAATTATTTCAGTTGATCTTTAAACAAATTTTTCTTCTAATGTAGCTAAGAACCTGCTTTGGCATTATCGCTTTCAGAATTCTCCCTAAGATCATCACTAATGCGCTTCTTCATGATCTTAAGTGATAGGCGTTGATGCGGGACCCACGGGATACCCCTGCAAGGAAGGGAGAAGATCTAGTCTAACTAGGATTCTTCTCATGTAATCCTAGTAGTAGTATTGATCAATCCTACTAGGAACTCATTATAAACCGATTAGGACTCGCCTCCCGACTATATAAAGGAGGACAGATTCCTAGAGATGGGACTTTACAACACAACACTTGACAATCAATCCAACGCAAAAGGCTAACGCCAACTGGACGTAGGGCTATTACTCGATCAACGATTGAGGGCCCGAACCAGGATAAATCGATTGTCTCTTGAGTTCACCGTCGAAGTTCCGAGATGTCACCGAAACCCAAATATATCGCCCGAGGACCCCCGTGGCGGGCTATCGGTGGTCAAACATCGACAATTTGGCGCCATGTAGGGGCTTTTAAGGCAAATTTGCATCCGAGAGCTCGACGGACCTAGACAACATGATCTTCTCGACGGGATCAACCTTCATCTTTGGCTCATGGATCTGCGAGGCGGACGACAATGGCAAGCTCCAAAGCCGTCTCCTCAAAGATTCGGATTACCCCAAGACCATTCTATTTTGGCAACTACACGATGATCAACTTCATGGAAGATTCGCAACTCACGATGTCCCGATTCAACTCAGATTTCATGATTTTGCGATCCGACTCAAACTCAGATTCCGTGATCCGAAATGGAGTCTTACCCGAGTTCTTCCGAGAAACCGAGTTCTTTTCCAATGAGGCTTAAGAATGCGGCCTTGGCCTATCAAGAATACAACTCAAGAGTAATCAAAGTCTTTTAAAGAAGTCGGTCTTTCCGTTCGGACTCCACAACACAAGAACATCTTATCGTGCATGGCCTCAAGGATCCCTGATCGGTGCTTAGAATGCCACCGAGGGAGCTTAGGAAGGTCGATATCACTATAACATCTCAAGACCGATCGCCCATCGGGCTGAGTTGCATTCTCGAGGATAGCGGAACTCGACTAGTCGACACGATGACGACAACGATTCTACCCTACCAAGAAGGAGACTCGATCTACGACCTCGAAGCCTCTACTAAAGTTATCAGCAACTTCAACATTGTGGAAACCGATGCTGGTAGCAGAACAATTCACGCACGAGAAGTATTCATGGTTCGCCATCCTCGGTCACCATTGGTCCCCCCAGAAGTACCCGATGTCAGGTCATCGGATGAATCTGAGTCCAACATATCACCCTTTACCCAGGGGCACGATGGTGAGACCGAGAATCAGAAGCAAGCCAGAGAAAGAAAAAACAAGTTGAAATAAGGACGCCAAAACCATGCTAGGCAGCGCAAGGAAGCTTGGATCAGATATGAGTCAGAACTGGCCGAGTACAATAGAAGAAAATCAGAATGAGAAGTCAAAGAAAGACGCACGACAAATACACCCTACGATAAGATCCGAGAAGCACTAGAAGAACTTAGAGCGACCTCACATCCCAGCTGAAAACAAGAACAACTCTGGATTTTCTTCGTCAACAAACCCTAAGGACGATACGAAGGAAGGACCCACTCAAGACTACCCACCAGTCAATGTCTCATAGGCAAGAAGATCAAAATCAAAGGAAGTCCGCTTTCAAGAGACTTGGACCAAGCGGAAGTCACAACAGAGAAAGTAGAAGGGATCATAGTCAAAGCTACCGAGTCGAACAACCAAGAAAGACCAGAAGCAAAGCACCTGCTCAGACAGCCTCGCAGAACTACACTCACCAAAACAACAACAGTTATTGGAGGAGGTGCGAATCGTAATACACAAAGAAGCCGGAACGCATGATAGATTCCCCAGTTTTGCAAACAGACTTGCTTCAATACGACTACCTCACAAGTTCAAGCCGTCCAACCACTCTAAGTATGATGGCAAGACTGAACCAAGGTAGTGGCCCAGGATATACTCGCAATCGATTGAACTAGCCGGAGGAGACGACGATATCAAGACCCTGTGCTTTCCCATGGCCCTAGAAACCATGCCCCTCCAATGGTTCGACAAATTGAATCCAGGGTCAATCAGAAACTGGGAGGACTTGCAAAGAGCTTTCTGTGAAAATTTCACGGGAATCATTACGCATCCCATCACCCATGCAGAATTAAAAGGACTCAAGCAGAAAGGGGGCGAAAGTCTCAGAAATTACTATCGATGATTTGGCGAACTACGAGCTCAAGTACATGACATCACCAAACGAGAAGTAATTGAAGCTTTCTCTCACGGAATCATGGCTAGGTGGCAATTTCAAGACTTCTACAAAGAAAACCGGAGAAACAATGAAGAATTCAGATGAATAGTAGAAAAGATGATTACTGCAGAGGAGAAGACACGAGAAAGGTTCCCGAAAAGAAACAACCGAGACAACCGAGACAAGCAAAATCATTGAAACAACAGACATCAAGAGAGAAAACGTGGACTAGACAACACCGTAGCGGTAACTGACAAATCAAGGAAGTTTTCCAAGCCCAGAAGGTATGACGACATTGAAAACATGCGTTGCATCTTGCACCCCAAAGGAAATCACACCATCGGAGATTGCTATACCTTCAAAGATCGATACACAAGAAACGATAGTAAGGAGAATACCAAAGAAGACAATCAGAAAAAAGATGAGGACAACCACGAAGACAAGGGATTCCAAAAATCTAGGGGGGCGGTAGCAATAATCTTCGCTGGAGCCCCAAACTCCAGAAGCAAACATCAAGAAAAGTTAGCTCTACGAACCATCATGGCAGCAGAACTGACCACTCTAAGATATCTCAATTGGTCACAGTATCCAATCCAATTTTCAAGAGAAGACCAATGGACTAGCGTAGGAAACATAGGCCATTACCCACTGGTTCTAGATCTAACTATTGCCGTCAGATGACTGTCACAAAAGTACTAATCGCTGTGGGAGCGAACTCAACATCATTTTTTCGAAACTCTAAGGAAGATGGGACTACAACTCGCCAGATGATTACACCAACGAGCACACCTTTTTATGGCATAGTACCCGGCAAGGCAGCGATGCCACTTGGACAAATCACTCTACTAGTTACTTTTGGAACTCCCTCGAACTACCATACAGAGTTCATCAAGTTTGAAGTTGCGCATTTTGATTCATCATATCACGCAATCCTCAAGCGCCAAAGACTAGAAAAATTCATGGCGATACCGTATTATCCGTACTGTAGCTTAAGATGCCGTGGGCCTAACGGTGTCCTTTTCTTCGGAGTGATTTGAAGCGCTTTTTGATCGCGATGTTCAGCAATCCAAATTACAAAGAAAAGCACAAGCCGATGGTAGAAAAGAAATAGCCACTATCGCAGCAGAAATGAGCCCAGAAGAGCTAGAGATACCGGCTAAAAAACCTAGCATCCTCGCACCACCAAAAGAAGCCGACGTTAAGCAAATCGACCAGGCACCGTGATCCCTCCAAAACGCAAGAACCATCAACCACCTCCGGGCAAAAGGAAGGAACTCAACGACCAACTTTCTTCGGGACAACAAAGATATCTTCGCTTGATGCCGCCGACATGCCAGGTGTCCTAAGAGAGTTGGCTGAGCATAGAATTGATATCAATGAAGGCTCCAAGCCTGTGAAGCAACGACTATGATGATTCTCACCCGACAAGAAGGTAGCAATTAAAAAAGAAATCACAAAGCTAATGGCAGCCAGATTCATCAGAGAAATCCTCCATCCAGATTGGCTAGCAAACCCAGTTCTAGTACAGAAAAAGAATACGGACGAGTGGCGCATGTGTGTCGACTAC